TCTGCATCAGTCTTCTTCAGATCTAGGGAATGCTCTCAGATCTTTAAGTCTGCCCTGCCCTAACGCAACATCACTTTTGCATACTGCACCAAAAATGTGAAATATGAATAAACTCTGTACAATATTTCATCTGTATATTATCACAGTGCCAAGTATTATCTGCCCACTACTTTATCTTATCATCTGTTGGACAAACAAGGATTACATATGTCTGCCTCAACATCAAAAAAGATGGAACATGGAATAATATGGGATAAAGGAACAACAGACCTGGACAGGGAAAGATGGTTATTGCACCTTCAGATACTTAGCAAACAGAGCCCTTAAAAAGTAAATCATTAAATCCACAATTCACAAGAATACTTCTGTGTACGTGCAAACCTACACAAAAGTAGAAGAACAAAGGTTCTGCACATTTACATGAGGAGAGCCACACCATTGTATTTCAGAGAGAGCTCTGATAAGATAAAACGATTACGGACAAGCAGAACTGTGTGTCTGTCTGACTTCTGTTCTTTCCAGGAGGAATACAATCTTAACACCTTTTTTTTAATAAACAGAATCCTTCCACTTTTTTTTTTTTCAATTCTTTGCCTCTGCCCCCCACCTTTTTATTTTTTATGTTCACTTACAGCTGACCAGCACACCCTGCAGCCTTGACTACTGATTCTGAAGCAAACAGATCACTCCATCTTAAGGTTTACCCTTAAATGAAGCGCGCCCTTTCGAGTGGCCTTGCTGGGTGTTGTTAAGAAGTTTATCTGGATTCTGCTGAATCTTGCATTATACACTAAAAAGGCTCAAATCTGTCTGACGCAAGTTTTCCCACAAGTCCTCCAGCCACTACATTATGAACAGTTTGGGATCCCCCTCTTACATGTTAACTGGAAAAATCTGGCTGAGACACAATAGCACTGAAAAGTTTCTCAACGAGCTCTAATTATGAGTGGTCAGGCAATAACATACCAGCACATCAAAAACAAGTATGTAAATAGAACACAAAGTTCTGACCACGACATTTTTATTTGGATTGGCAGGTGAAAGCAAACTAACTTGGCAACAGAGAAACAAGAGGATCAATCCAGTTTATATCAGCTTATCTGAGAAAGCACATAGCCTAATACAGTTAACTTTAAATCCTTACTTTGAAAAGTTTATAATAAACAGGTAAGATGACACAAAGCTTGTGTAAATGCTTTCTGAAGCATCCTGTGCCAGATAATTTGAAAAAACATGTCACATTAAATTATTCTCATCATAGAAACATTTCTACAGTGAAGCACCAATTTCAGCAGAAGGCCAAAACTTGGATGTGTGCTACATACTCTCTTTGATGAGAAAGCAGTGGTAGCAAACAGAATACAAAGAAGATGAACTTTTACTGGAGAGTACATGCATATTTAGTACTTTCCTTTGTTCATGTCAGATTAAAAGTAGTCTTTGAAGTACAAAATACTTTATGCCCTTTAACACATTTTTACTCAGAGGCAAAAGCAAGGCACACTCATAGGAACAACGTGGCCTTGCACCTACAGGTTGCTTTCTGCTCTTAGCCTGCATCTTGTTCTGGGCTCTTGCTGTTCTTCCAATTTTGCTTTTTCTTCACTTTACACTGTATAGTCTTTCTCTACTACTGATGTTCAAAGTCTCTCTCCTTCCGGTCTATCCATGCTCCTTTGCACTTGAACCTTGCCAATGACTTTGTCTTGCATCTTGTATTCACCTTGAACACTTTATTCTTGGGCCTTTCATCTCTGTACCCCTGGGATGCCCTTCTTCCCAAACCCCTTCATCCAAGCACCCTTCCTAAGTGCATCATCCCCTGCCCAGACTTCATTTTCTCTCCAGGGCTGCAGCTCCTCCCTAGAACTCCCTGCCCTTTCTGCACGCACAACAAGTTTCCTGTTGTCATTCCAATCCTTTGCAGCTTTACTTCTGGGAACTTTTAAGATCACCTGCCCGATCCTCCAGCCAACAAAGCTCAGCAGAAGTGTTTGGTTTATTTCCATGGACGTCAAATCAAGATCCAGCCCAGAAATCAAACAGACTCCAGGTGAATACTGAGTGCAAATCTGCAGCGACCTCAAACTCTGCAAAGAACAAAAGCAGCAGAGGTGTTTCCCTTCATTTCAAGGCCAGCCTCTAATCACTGTGTGATGCCCCAGTGCAAAAAGAATCCCCTGAGGCCTAAAAGGAGAAGGCACTGACTAACTATCGGGATCACCCCCGTGTGCCTCAAGTGCTTCACTTCTGAAAGGCTTTCTTTGAACAGAAGAATGTTCTCAGAGTAGCTCTTCTACTGCACATACCTCCCATCTACTTCAAGGCCAACAAGGAGCTTGCATTTGACCTCATGGAAAACTGCTTTTTAGATCCCCTCTATAACATATGGGGATGCTCAGCCAGTTTATGCTCATGTGCAGGCTTCAACTCTTCTTTGTATAGGATGCCAGAATATTGAAAGGTACAAGGATGCAGAGAGAGCACTGAAAATAACCAACATCAGCAAGAAATGTTATGGGAAATAGACAATCCAGAGAAGATTTCTCCTCGTGTAAATCACCACCTCTGTGTGCTTAAACATTATTTAAGAGATAGGTCTGAGTAAAAGCTCCATTTTGTCTTCCTGCATGACAAAGGTCCTTTCTCAGCCCCCATTTGTAGGTGGCTCACATATGGACATTCCCAAGAATGCTTATGTTCAGGACATTAAATAGCTGGCAGCCAAACTTCCCAGCAGTTTCCACACCTACTGCTTCATTTCTTGTCAACAGAATGAGAGATGTTTCATTTAATTACTGTTTATTTCTTTGCAGATGCAAGACAACTCAGAGAGCAAAGGGGATTTTACCCTCACTCACACACTAGCAGTGTTATCAGTTCATTAACAAAGTGACTTATTACTAATGAAGTCACAAAAGTGATCAAGAATAAAGTATGATTGAAGTTTTCATTGCATGTTTTGATGGGAAAAAAAAGAGTAAATATACTTCTTGAAAAGACATTTCAAACTCTGCTACCTGTTTTAGAGCCCTTTTCCCCTCAGAGTGCTGCATTTCATGAAGAGGTGTGTTTGTTTAAGTGCTTAAATGTTATAGTTCTTAGCCTTTGAAAAAAAAAAATAACAGTCTCTTTAAAACCTGAAGTTCAGTTAGCTAGTTACTTCATTTCTTCCTGCTTGGCTGAACTGCAGTGCCAGGAAGCTGTTAAGTTTTTATTATGTCCTTACCAAAAGCAAGTCCCGCACATCAATCTCTTACCATATGTTATATGTGTACCTTGGTAGATACGTGCTCAGAAGAAACAGACACTGGTATGAGAAAAATAAACACACATCTGCTGATGAAGGCTGTGCAGGGCCCATGCACATTTCGTAGCAATCCTCTGACTAATTAATGGAGCATGCAGACAGATTCCAGTGGGATTCCTGCTCATCTCTTGTTAGAATTAATGCCTGAGCTTAGGAGGCTGGATATCTCACCTTGTACTTTTAACCCTCTAAACATTATCCCACACATGCTTATTTGGCAAACAGCATAATGAATGCCTCTGGGATCTTGCTGCAACTCTGTGCCTCTCAGATGGGGCGCAGCAGGAGATAAAGCAGAGCTACAGGGCGGCTGATGGGCTCCATGGGGCTCACATGGGATTTGGGAGAGATTTTATTCTATGGATTACACAGACACAAAGAGGACAGTCAGACAAGCCTGTAGCTGGGCGCTGCAGGTTAGCTGTCAATGGGCAGCATCTTGCCTCTACCTCCCACCTGACAGAGCCTTCAAACCCCAGTCTAAGGGATACAGGCCATATTTTCATGTTTATAGAAGTGGCCCACCACAGAAGGAAGCAAGCTGTCAAAAGTCTAGGTCCCAAACAGAGAAGAGCTGCATTTAGCTTCAGTGCCTGGCAGATCCTTCTTCAAGACAGGAGTATTTTTAACATCAGAACTGAAGTTGCAACGCACACAAAAATTGTGACTGCCTAACAATGAGCAATCAAAGGAGGCACCTGAAATCAGCATGAATATGACTTATGAGGCAGTGGTTTGAACTTTTAGACCAGTCACACACACAGGGTGACACAGAGTTGAAACTGGGTGTGCCTCCTTACCTAAAATAAAACATTCCTTCCCAGCCAGTGTGACCTGTGCTGCTTGTACCCTGCAGAGCATGCAAATGGCCATAGCCCCCAGGCATTTAAACCTGTACGCAACTCCACTCATGCAGGTAAATTCCTTGGCTGCGATAGAAGTCACGGTACATGGCACCACTGACACTCCAGTAGTTCCAGTAGGACTCTGAATAGCTCCTAAATGATGATTTCCTTACCATCTCCTACTGCTGCAGTTGAAGCTTCTCTGAGAGATTCCCTTAGTTCAATGCTGAAATCTTAGGCACATACCACAAACCTTTCAACAGAAGATGTTTTTAATCTGTGCTTAAGATAAGGAAGAGAGAGTTAAGGAAGAACTGATATTCCAGAGCCTGATCTAATTGTTCCATATTCGGGCATGTTACAGTTCTAAGTGTTCAAAGACTAACAATAACGTTTTATAATTAATAATTGTATTGTTCCAAACATTTTCTATACCATCTATACAATCTTGTCACACCACTCACAAATCAAAATTAATACCGGGTCTGAGAAGCCTGTGCCTTGATGACCCAAGTTCCAAACGATTCCTGGTTTGGCCATGAAGGCCTACTTTCAGTTTTTTGGTTTTTTTTAATTTGTATATAATGAGTGGACAGAGCATGGCCTGATGCCGGGTGTGAATCACGTCAGTGTTGTTTCTGGCCTGGCTAGACGAGCAGGGAGAGAACAAACAGGCAAATAAATATTGCTGTGTCAATGCTAATGTTGATTGTTGCCTGGCTACTAATGACTAAAACCAGCCACGTTAGCTAAGCCCCAGTGGAAGCACAGGTGTAGCAGGTTGGTAAACTGATCCATAAATCACAGCAGGGCATGGGGGCAAATCCTCCACGAGAAAGCCCAAAAGCTAAAGAGAGAGAGGATTAATTAGGGCTGATTCACAAGCAACTTATCATACCTACCATCATTGTTAGTTTCAGCCTGGCACTCTATTTACAAAACTACTTGAGTTCTGTTTTAAGCCTTTTCATCCTGGCAGGAAGGACTACCATACCTTCTTCCTTCTGAATCAGCTTGGTCTACATGATAATTTTCTTGTCTCCAGACTTTCAGAAAGGGAAAAGAAAGCAATTATCTTCACTCAACTGACATGAATTTCAAGGCTCTTTAAGCTATCTGTTCAACTGCTTGGCCTGTCCACACAGCTTTCCAAGACAACCAAACTGAAGATAGGATGCTTAGTGCTGTACCAGTATGTGTCTGAAGACCTACAAAAAAGGTAAGCTTGAAAAATAAACATGGGTTTTTCCTTCCATTGCAGCTTCTTAATTAAGAAACCTGAAAAGTTCCAATCTGTGTAATGCATTATAATGCAATTAACTAAAATAGAAAAGTTACATGCTAAAAAGTTTGCTAGAAATCTCTTCCTTGCTCTACTTTCTTGCTTCTACTCACCAAACAATGTTCTAGGGCTGATGAAACTCTACCAAGAGATCACCACTCTGTTTTGAATCCTGTGAGTGGACAAGCACAGCCTCACAGGTACCCTGAGTTCTGTATACTGACTGCTCTTTGGGTTACTCTGCTAAGGCACGCTGGTTTAGTGGGCTGATTCTGGAATAAAGAGAATGAAGAAAACTCTTCTTTGAAGGTGTTCTTTGCTTTTGCTTTCCTCACAAGAACTTGTGTAAATAAAGAACAGGCAATCCGATGCAGAGCTATGGCAGGCTACGTCGTTTGGAGTGGAATAAGCATCTCAGGTAAGCAAAATGGTAGGTGAGGATGGGCCTTTAAGTACTGTGCGTTGAAAAATCCTTCTATGTGAAGGCCTTGCTCTGCTTTCAAAACAAGTTCTTTGCTCTTATCTTTAGTTTTGTCAGTACTTCCCACTGCCGTAGATTCTCTCGTGGGAAAAATGCCAGGGAGTGGATCTTGACAGAGTATGGTACAAGCATGGCTGATTCACAGGCTCACGGCCAGAGCCAGGAGAATAATGTGGAACTCCATGCAAAGAAGGCTGTGGCACAAGGCTGGTCATCCAGGAGCACACACAGAACTGCAGGTACAGTCTGCCCTGATATTGTACCACAGGGTATACTGATCTACAGACGTGATGGCAGAGATAGACAGAACAATAGCAGAACCAGTTTCCTTAGGCATTGTATTCCCAGAAAGAAAAAAAAAAAAACTTCCAGAAGAATCTCCATCTCCTCTTTGATGGAAGCCCAAGTAGGGCGCCCCTTCCACCTTGCCATATCCTTTTCAGAGCAACAGCAGGATTTGTTTTTCTTAAACCTAAAATTCCTCTCAGAATTTTAGTTGTGGCTAATCAAATAGTTGAAGAGGTTCCCCTTTCTCAGGGGAGATGCCAGGAGAAGAGGAGTAGTGTCATTACTGACAGAGTTGTGTATACCCTGCATGGTTGCATAATTATTTCAAAACTAGGTATTATAAAAGGAAAAGGGGGGAGGGAGGAGTGGTCTTCAGAACCAGCTCAAAGGAAGTCAATGGTTTAAAGGAAATGATAGTTTGCATATGCAAAGATGAGGGGCCTTTGCCATGGGGAGAAAGGAGAGAATGGACTCAGAGCTGCTGCTGATGTGGCTGGGAATGAATGGAGGAAGAGAGCCCCAGGGCTGCACGGAAAGTTGCCAGAAGAAACTGCCAGCCATCCCACTTGGGACTGACTTGGCAGTCACAGCAAGCCTAACTTCCTAGTGTGGCAACAGGAGTGAAAGAAGGAAACAGGATTGTGTTTCTGTTACACCATTTCTGCCTGTTGCCCTTTACACAAAGCCAGTCTCCACCCAAAAGAAAATAAGACTTTAGGAAATAAGTTTTTACATTTTGCATCTTGGGTACAGCAAGGGTTATTGTCTGCTCTTTTGTATTTAAGGCTGCAAAAGGGCACTGTGTCAGCTTTGAGCAAACGTCCCACATTTTTTGATATATATCAAAAGTCTAGAACAAATGAATATTGTATGGACCACTCAATTTTATCAATATTAAGATCTCAGAGTATATATAAAAGTCTTTTACAGTATCGAAGACAACCTCATTGCATACAGAATGCTTGGGAGCCCTTTTATGAGCAGTCCTGATACAAAAAAGTATTTTCATCTTGCTCTGCAGCTTATACATTAGAAAGGTCAACTAAGTAAATGTTTTCATCTCAAAACACACGCAATGGCTTTTGGAAATTGATGTGTTTCTGCACCAGCAGAACAAGTAGAACAACCCTCAGACTCCTTCAGGGAATGAAGAGTGTGATTTATTTATTTATTTATTTTTAAAGGGAACAGAAAACAATGCAAAGGGACTCTGGAGAGGCGGGGGAGCCCATGGACACACACGACTAGCTCAATAACCAGTTTGTTACACGAAGCCATCTAGCATACCATTCAAATGAACAGGTAAGGGACAAAGAAAGATATTCTGTCCAGGTTAATGCTTTGGCTTCACAGGGTGAGCCTTTCAGGATTCCAGGTTTTTCTTCGTTTGCTTGTTTTCTTCTCCTGAATCTACTTAGAATGAAAGCTCTGCTCTTTGAGACCATTCAACTAATGTGTAACAAGGAATACTGGCTTTCTGTTTAGATTTAACTTCTAGGGACAGAAGGCTTTCAGCTTTTAACCTAATCTGACGTTTAGAACAGTATTAATGGTACCGAAGAGCCAGATGAGCCTTCCAAAAATCTCCTGAGTGAACAGAAGAAAAGGTGCCAGTGCAGCCCCAGCTCATCCAGATTTAACATTGGATTTCTGTCCATTTTGCACTTGTTTGTGATAAGCAAATCAAAAGTGGGGAAGATGTTCACAACAAGGTGTAAGATCTATCTTTGAGTTCTTTCATATCGGAATAGCTCCATAACTTTTCAGCACATGGAGATGGCTCTGATCTGATGCTGTTTATGAGACCTTATACGTAATGTACAATGCTGTAACCAGAAAGGACCCCATCCTATGGCCGGTCTGAGTGCAGCGTATGCCTCCCACTCCTTACAGCACACAGCTTGGCCATCAGACTCCAGCCGGACCCCACCAACAAGGCAAAGAAGAGAAACGGACAACTTGTATCTAACTTAACAAGTTCGGCTTTCTCTGGGATTGCGAGGCTCTGCTAACACGTCAAGTACGGTGGCAGCCCACAGCACCTGGTGCTACAGAGCACAGCTACGAGAACTCAGAACGTTTACAGCTCTGCCATACTTCGCGATTTCCTGCTCAGGACTGCTAAGTGATTACTCACCCGATACTATATGAGCATTACTCAATGAAAGAACCGGACGAGATGGGAAGTTTCACCTCAGCCCGCCTGGCTCCCCGCGCGACAGCGCCCGTTCCGGCAGCACCGCGCCGCTCCCAGCCGCTGCAGGGCAGCGCCGTTCGGACGCGCTTCTGCGGGCATCGGCGGGCCGCGAGCGGAGCGCCGCGGGCAGCGCAGAGAGGTAATTGCCGCCGTGCCGAGAGCCCGGGCACGGCACGAGCCGCCCACGTCGTCTGAGAAGTAATGAGGGCAGATGTTTATTAAAGGCTTCCTAACGACTCTGCTAACTTCGCCGCCTCGCTCGAGTAAGCTTCCGACAGCTACACGCGGCAATTACTCGAGAGCGAGCGCGGAGACGGAGCGCGAACGACAGAACGAAGGGACGGAAAGGCAGAAAAGCCGCCAGGCGGAACCGGGCTCCTCGTGAAGAGGTGCGCGCGAGCCCGGCCCGGGGGCGGCGGAACCGCCTGGGATCGGGACCGCGCCGGCAGCTCCGGAGCCCACCGAACCCCGGGGCTCCGCCCTCCTCTCACCTTCCGAAAGTAGCAGTCCTCCTCCGGGCAGCCGCGAGCCGGCAGGGCGTCCATCATCTCCGACCGAGAGAGCCGTCCTCGGCCGTGCTGCTGCGGAGAGCCGCGACCCCACGGGAAATGTCGGCGCTGCCCCGCGGCGCCGCCCGGCTCCACCCCCGGCGGGCGGGGAGCGGCCGCCCCGCCCCGCAGCCGTGCCCCTCGCTGCTCCGGACCGCCTGGCCCCGCGCGGCCGCCCGCCTCGTGGCTCGGAGTCGTCGCGGAGGTTCCGCGGCGGAGCGGCCCCGGCGTGGCGGAGTGAGGTCGGGACGCGGGCGGCGGCTGACGGACGCGGGGCTCCTCCCCGGCCCGCGCTGCCCTGAGGCGAGGTCCTGCTGAGACCCGCGAGCACCGCTCGCCTCCCGCCGCTCCTCGTCCCCGCGCCGGAACGGTCATCACGGGTGACCCCCGCGTCCCCGGGGCCGCCGGCAGCGCGGCGGTCTCTGCCCTCTCCGGAGATTTCTGTGAGGTCGGCCTCAGACGTGCGCAGATCGGCGGGGATCACAGCGTGAACGTCACGTCTTCAGAAAATTCCACTGTGCAACCGGTTCTGCAGATGTTTGTTGGACGCTCGAGTAAGGAAATGGGCAGCATCGGCTGCTATTGCTGCCCAGGCCTAAGCTATAGCTATGTGGGCTTCCAGCATGTGAGGACATTAAGCATCAGAGTGCTTTAAGTGATTATCAGCAAACGTATCCTGTCCTTCCGTGAGTTCTGTCTTTCTGTAGCAGTAATTTTCAGGAGCCGGGAAGGTGTCTGCAAACACAACCTTTCCCTATCAAAGAGAAATATCTTTGGGATTACATCCCGAGTTCCCAAAAACTCCCTTTGAAAGTGCGGGTGTCAGCAGGGAGCTGAGCAGGGCGCTACGGCTGAGCTGCGCCCGCTGCTGTTAGAAGGAAGAGCACAAGAGCCAGCAGTTCAGAGATTGGGATCCAGAGACACCGTGTTGGCTCTCTTGAGGCCGGCTGAATTTTATTCTTCCCCACACCATATGCTCCCACCACTGTACCTTTTACTTTTTTTCCCCCCCATTAATTCTAAAAATAATGGGTGAAATGGGAAAGTAGATTAACTTCCCTCAATCTCGTTTTAGAGTGTTATTTCCATTGTTAGAAAATGCACTGACCTAACAAAGAAAAATATTTGAAAAACTTAATCTTACCAAAATAAGTCAACGTAGTAGTTGAAATTAATATTAATGAGAGAAAAATTAGCAAACTGTCAGATGTGCTGATGCAGCCGGGCAGTTGGCACCGCACTGCTTCTGCTGGGTTAATTGAAATTGGACTCAACATGAAGGGTATCGCTGTTACTCCAGCTTAGTCGTAAGAGTTTGTAGCCTGTTTAAAGGGTCAGATGGTTAACAGTGAGACAAGTGACCATGACTGCGGTGTGTGGAAAGCACTGATTTGCATAAGTTTCCGCAGAGAATGGTACCGAAGTGAAGTATTTGTAGTGTATCTCGGTGACAGACTGCAGACTGCAGCCTTTGTCAGTTGCTGGTGGATACTTGGAATGAAACAAAGTCAGCAGCATTACACACAGTGAAATTTTCCAGCAAATTCAAGAATCTGAGATAGCTCTTATAGGCTTCCTCCCGCCTGGTGAGCACCCTGAGAATATCTTCCAACACCTTCAGAGCTGCCAGATCAGACTGTGCCTTGCCCTGTCTTTGATAAGAGTACTTCACGACTGTCAGGATTTATCTGGTATTTCTAAGTAAGTCTCAGTAAGTTTTGTCTGTCTACGGATTGCTCCTCTTAGTGAATACGATTTTTTTCAGAAGACATGCTGATTGCATGGTCTCAGTATTTAGAGCTGAGCTGTGTAATGATGGAGTAGGAGCACTCCATGACCCTGGAATGTAAATTGCAGCTTAGAACGTTCCAAAAACTGATTTATCTCAGAAAACACGTCCCTACTCTTCTAAGCATTTGGTTAAATAACTTGTTTCCAGCAGCTCTTTGGTTGCTATTAGAATTCTGAAATAGAGGTGGGTTCATACCACAGACTTTCTCAGTTTCTCACAATTGTATTAATCAGAGGGTTTGGTTTCCTGCATTGTAGAGATTGAGCAATAACAGGCTGGGAATCAGTAACTCATGCACTCAGAAAAAGGGATCCGCAGAGGCAGATGTTTGGTTGGCATCAGTAACCTTAGAAGACCAAATTCAGTGAACTGGTGCTCAGGACATGGCACTGTCTCTGAGGAAGCATTTCTTACCAGATGCTCAAGGATTTGCATCAGTGTGCTGTGCCTAAAATACTGAAGCTGAAAGCAACTGATGTTATCTCTGCATCAAATCTCTCTCTTTGTTTTCCAGAACTCTGTGCTTCAGGCTTTCTGCATTTTCGCAGATAAACCAGCCAGGTGAAGCAAACAATGACTGCATTGAAAACAGGCATTGAAAGGCAGAGCTGGAGTTTTCCCAGTTTTTGTCCCACAGAAGTCAAGGTGAGAGAGAGGTCAGAATTGGAATAGGCTTACCACAGACACACGGTAGTATGCGTAGATACATACACATATACGATGGTGTATATATAAATGTACATGTACACGTTATGTGCCGTGTTTCTTTCGTGTTTGTGTAATTCTGCTCGCTCAGTCAGGCCTGTCCTTGCCCTCCCTCATCTTAAAAAAAAAAAAAAAAGTGAATATATGAAATTCCAGTCCTTGTTTTAGTCCCTATATTTCTCTTTGGCCAGTAGGAAGGGGTCTCAATTTGGGAAATTCATTTCCTGCCGTGACTTGTGTTGATGCAGTTGTACACTGAAGATCTGAATCTCATTAGCCTTTGTAGGAACAATACTACTCTGTGGGAAGTGAACTTTTTATTTTTCTTGTGACTACAAACACTGCGGCTGCAGTATGGTAACAGGTGCTTCAGAAGCAGTTTTTGTCCCAGACAGACAGGGAGGCTTATCAACAAAAGCACATCAGGATGATACAGTGTGAAGAGAGAAGTATGCTTCCAACACGTGCTGTTTGTCAGGTAGATTCTTGAATTCTGGGCAGATCACATAGTTGTTCATTGCTCCTTCAGTTGTTGGCTTGGAATATTAAATATTCATGTTTCATATTAAATATTTTGCTGAGAGCAAAAAAAGATTTTGTCAGCATCCCTGGCAGTCTGTAACTTTACAGTTGTCGAGTTCTTCATTTTTGAAGATTGTAGCTCTGTAGTAAGGGAATGTCCAGGTACAGTAGGGACGTTTTAGGTGAGGAGAGAGAAAAAGGTCTCTTAAACTGAGTTTTGTTTCTCACTCAGTTCTCTGCAAAGCCATATTTGTCAAAAGAAAGAAAAGAAATGGCAAAAACAGGCATGGGAGCACAGTGGTAATGGTGATGTCTGTGTCATTGAAGACTGTTAAAATTTACCAGATGTAGGAGTTTTTCAAACTGTAAGGTTTTGAGACTAAAGACTGCAAGGACTTCTCTTAAACAAAAGAAGCCCTTCTGCATTTTATGACAGAAGAATTGAAAGGTGACCAGACAGGAATGGCAAGGAACAAGTGCCCGAAGTTTTCCTAACCAAGAAATCTACAGAGTGATACCAAATGGTACCAAAAGTGCTATGCAAATTCAATGGAAGTTTATAATACAATTGGCTACAGGTGCAGCATTTCACTGCTTCAAGAGTTATATGGGTTAACTAGAGCTTTATCATATTTAAAATGATACATTGTAGTTTCAGTGAGATGTGATAAATAATGTAAGGTTAGACATGGGCAAAATTATCACCACTTGTTCCAGATAATGCCTTGTCTTTGTCTGAAACCCCAAGGTAAAAATCAGTTTATTTAAGGACTGTATGCATCATCTCCTTTGTTGCTGTTGTTTGTTCATTCCTGAGAATATTAAAATAAGCTTTGTAAACTTTGTAAAAGCTTAACCTGTACTCTGTGCATCTGTTTCCTGAAATGATACATAGCTGTGTGCTGCTAGGATGGATATTAGGATGAATGTTATTCCCATTGACCCAAGATAAGTTAGCAGTGAAGTCATTTGTCTCTTGCCCTGTTTTGAATAGTAAATACGTAGTCTATTTAATATTGTTTTGAACTTCTTTTATATTCTTTCCTTTTTTATTTTTATTTTTTTAATTTGTAGAAGAATCGAAATTTTGTTTTCTACACTTGTACATGGATTATGCTGGTTTCAGTCTCTAGTAGCAGTAACTTAACTAATTAGTAATTACTAATTACTAACTAGTAGCAGTAACTTAAAACTAATCAATAATAACTTACCTATTTGAGGGACTGCTGTTAAAGAGTACAGAACATTACAAAGGGTTTGGGAAGTAATGTTGGTGGTTCCTCCTTGATGAGCTAATTAAAAAATAGATGCTGAAAACGTATTAGAAAATAAAACCCGATCTCCATCAGAGGTTAGGAGCCCAAATTCAGCTTTATGTGTACTGGCTTTGAGCTTTCATTTTAAAATGCTGTTTTGTTTTTTTCACCACTCAAATATTGAAAAATATATATATATTAATTTTTCAAACATAAACTTTTCAAACCTACACAAATTTTAGTTGCATTACCAAAAGTCACTTGCATCAGCTACAGATAGTAACAGTCACCTGCTTCAACAAATGCAAATTGGAGACATAGTTTACCATGGAAAGGAAATGCCACTATAATGCGAAAGTATTTCTAATCTGTTAAGAGCTTTAAAGGCAAAAAAAACCTCCGCGATTTGATTACCCGATCTCTTTGAACTTAGACAAAACACTCAAAAGATTTTCTGTTAACATTGTGCAAAAAAAAAAAAACCAAAAGTTTACTTAAGCATGTGCATCCAAATCCCTCAGACTTGACTATTTAGCAGCAATTATTTCCCAAACAAAAAGAAAAAGCAACTGTGCTAACAACTCATTTTGCACTCTGTGCTCTAGGATAACTGCCTACTAATTAGTAACGATGAGGAAAGGTAATGCACGTAGATAAATGCCTGTGGTTCCACC